GTCACGTTATATGGTAGACAATTAGTAGCGAGGCGTCAGCTTTTTGGCAAGGTGTTCACAATTTAATCAAAACAGAATTCCAACTATAACGTATTCCCCTACTTCTAAGTTTTGTCCTTTCCACAAGCTAATAGCGTACAAGACCAACAAAACAATTTATTTAAATGTTCGCAGCCTGTGATTCACTGGTTTTTATTTACCATAAAGCTGTAGCTGTAGGAAAACGACGACTTATCATAGATTTCGACATTTTTACAACAGGTATCAAATTCTTCATATCTGGAGTTGGTTTATTCATTTTATGAATTAAAATCTTTTTTTCAGAAGATCATTTAAAAAAAGATATTTGACTCAAATCTTTAATCACACATTTATCCATTTCTAAATATTATATTAATATTAATATTTTTAATTTCTTTCTTTACTTTTACCATTTGCTAGTATAAAATTGCAATAATAACCTCTACATAAGAGTAAGAAACTCTCATGCATTCATTTACTCTTTTACTTTGTATTTACAATGCCCGGTTCAGTTTTTTTACTGAACCATATGCCCATATGAAACAGCAACCGTGACTTTGATTGTATTTGCACGCTTTGTATAAACTTTTGGTTCAGTTTAGTGGAATGATCCTCTCGTCAAATGTAAAACGATTTTCGCTCAGTCATTTCTTTTCTCTTTTGTATTTACTTTGCATAACATTGGAAGTGCACTTTTTTATTGAACCGCTTGCACGCATTAATTTAAGAGCTAAGATTATTTTACGAACATATATTTGTTTGTATGTTTTGTGTTGTGTATTCAATATTGAACATAGTCCCAATGTGAATGTTATTTCATTTGCATGCTTTGTAAGCAACGCGGTGCAGTTTTTTTCTGAACCTTAGTATATTTCAAGAGGAATGTGTTTTCTCTTTTATTAATTATAAGCAATGTTGGGTGTATCTAACATATGTTTGATTTTGTTTGTATTCTACGTTTTGTGTTTATGTTAATCTGTTTGGAAAAGCTATTGATTCAAAAACTTCATATAAAAAAAATTTAGCATTTTGATGTTAATCAGTTGCTTGAACGACTCAAAATGCGTAATCTGATTAGTTTGTTGTGTGTAAATGCCTTGGCAGCACTCGCATCAACAGCAAAAGCGAAACATACGTTAACAGTGAAAATTGTTTACACACAATTCAAACAGCTGAGAGAGACAGCTAACAAATTTCTATACAAAAGTTCATTTTAAGTTATTATTACGACACTTGGGACTGGCAGCACTATTAATCAAATTTGTACTAATCTGAGAATAACCGAAATAGTTGATTCCCTGCTTAGTTTCATTTTTGTGTGCAAATTTTTGTTGTAATCAACTACTAAGCAACGAATCAGTTGCCTGAATACCCCTATTATAAAAAATGTTAAGTAGCAATATAGCCAGATTATTTACCTAATAAAAAAAAATCTAAAAAGGAAGCTTTGTTAAGGTGTTCAGTGAACACTCTGAACCATTCGACGCCTCGCCTCTGTAGACAACGGTTGTTTAAAATTATTAACGTTAAAAACAGAACCAACAGAACAAGAATTCCTCAGTTTAACTGGACATTTTAAAAAATTTATTAAAGGAAATTTAATCATTGCGAAACCACTATGAGATTTGTTACGTACAAACCAAGAAATCAAGACGCATTGCTTTCGAAATATTGAATCAAAAATTAGCCAATGAACCAGTGCTGAAAATATATCAACATGAAGTGGAAACTTAGGTAGAAAAAGGTAGTGAAAATAACGAATTTCAATCAGTGTATTTCATGTCATTAAAAACAACTGTAACTGAAAAAAATATGATTCATACATGTTAGAAACATTGGTAGTTGTAAAGGCGTTAAGAAAATTTAAATTGTACTTGTTGGAAAGAAAATTGAAAGTAATAACTAACTGCAAGTCGTTTCAAAAAACAATAAAAAAGAAAGATGTGATCTCAAAAGTAGGTAGATGGGTAATGGAAATGCAAAAATTCGATTTTTAAATTGAACACCGATCGAATCAGCAGTTTATGTTTTAAGTCGTAACGCGATACTATCAATCATATCAACAAAAGATAATCTAGTAATGAAAGTAAAGAAATTGCAAGAAGAAGATGAAGATATAAGAATAATTTCAACAATTATTAATCAACAAGAAAACTATGATGAATATTTTCTTTGAACTAAAATTTTGTTTAAATAGAACAATGGAATTGATTTACTGGTGGTACCAAAATCAATAAAAAATGAAATTATTAAAAGCATTCATGATAATGATCATTTTGGCGTAAAGAAAGTTAAAGAAATAATAAAATCACAGTTTTATATAGAAAAAATAAAATTGAAAGGGTTATCAGAAATTTTATAAGATGTATACTGGCAGAAAAGAAACATGGTAAACCAGAAGGATTATTATACCCAATTGACAAGGGAGAGTTACCATTCAATACATATCATAGTGATCATGTGGATCAATTGGATTCTACAGTTAAGATGTAAAAATATTTGCTTGTCGTAATTGATGCTTTTAAAAAATTTAAATAGATTTATGCAACGAAAACAACAAATGTAAATGAGGTGTTAAATAAATTAAAACCACAACAACCAACGTTTGGGAATCCACGTCAAATAGCATTAAATAAACTTACGGCATTCACCTCAGGTGAACTTAAAAAATATTGTGAAGCCGAAAAAATTAAACATGTATTTACAATAACGGGCAAACGGGCAAACGGTCATATCGAATGAATTAATTGTATCATTTTACCAGTGTTAACAAAAATGTCATAAGTTCATCCATCAAGATGGTATACACATGTTCCAGCATTACAAAAAGTTCTAAATAGCATACAACAAGGAAATATTCGAAGTATAATTTGAACGGAGTTCAAATTTGGTGTTGAAATGAAACAAAAATCAGATAATCGTTTGGTCAAAGCATTAGAAAAAGACTTTACAAAATAATATTGTAGTCAAATGTAGTAATGTATTCGAGTAATGTATTCAAAGTCAACAGAAAGACAATTGTAAATAGTTTTGAATAAGTTGTGCAGGCTGTAAGTATTTCTACAGTCCGAATCATTAACTCTTATTATTTGATTCAAATATTTGAAATATTTATAAAAAAACAGCATTAAGTCTGGTTGAAACAAATTGTTTTATTATTTCTTAAATATATCTATAGCATTGTAGCATTGGCCTTGTACAATGCTTGTACGAACAATTTCAATAAGTTTTTGATCTTCATGGATTTAAAAAAAAGGATGAGAAAGTGGTTTTTATTGTAAATTAAACGGGTTATTTTGAAATTATTCGTTGGAAACTAGTTTAATAATTACGATGCAGACGCTCTGTTTCATATCCGACGACGGTGAAGATTTATTTGACATCTATTACACAGATTTCCAAATTCATTGAAACACCTTTTGAAAATAGAATTATCTATGTACTGTCGGAGCTCAAAGTTTAAAGACAAGACAATCGCGTCGAAAACATTATTTCAACTATTTTACAAGTCGATTCTACTAATGAAAAATTTGTACGGATTGTATTATTAATCGCTTCGCCAATTATTGTAGTCCACCTGTTACATGTTTGGAAATCCAAAAACAAAGTTCAAGGAAAGTGTTAAAATGTACAATAGAAACCTATTTTGAATATTTGCACAGAATAGTAAAAAGCCTTTTGCTTGATATAAATCTTGATTATTTGTCAATGCTTTATAAATTTATCAAGTTCAGAGAATAGGGGGGTTAGTATACATTTACCGCAGACAACTTATATAAATATAGATATCACACGACATAAAAAATATGTATCTACTAAAATATCTACTAAAAGAGTACACAAAACCTCAGTATACGTACCATATAGTACATTAGTAAATATTTTAATTGCATTTTAAACGTTTGTTACATTATCTGAATAAGCAAAATTTCTTTAAATTTTTATTTTAATTATTATTATTATTTATCAAGACCTTTTTTGGAGTTACTATTTACTCGTTAAAATTGATCTATGATTAGCTCAATGCTATGAAATTCTTCTTGAGTAAGTGTTCCTATGTTGTGCTTGCTTTCCCTTGTTTTGCAAATCGGCTCCTAATGAACTTGATACCCAAATTTGGCATCGTAACCTATTTTAGCGATTTCCATCATAATTGAATTTTTGCATGGAAAAGAGAAATTCCGAATTCCAAGCCACGCGGGGTGCTTTGGATTAATGGTTCTTCGTTCAATTTACTAGTTCTTTTTTTACAAATGATACAGCTTGTTTTAGTTTCAATATTTGCCAAAGCCTACGCAACTTTGCTATCAATCATCAATCAAGGAGTATTTTTCGAATGTTATAGGAAAAATTTACTCTGACTACTTTACTTTGGACTTCAGCTTATATCTCAAGGTAAGATATTTTAAATATTTATTTTTCACATTTGATATAAATAAGGAATCAAATACGTTTTTATGATTGTAAGAAATATTATATAGTTTTTACTGTTCAATTTTATAACGAAACTTAAAAAAGTTTCTTTCATGAATTTGCAATAAACAGAATAAAGTAGTAAAATATCATGAAAACCGTGAAGAGAAAATAAATTTATTTGAAATCAATAACTTTGTACGCTTTTTGCGTATTTGTATTCGTATAATAAAATAAATAAAACTTTTTTATTTAAAAATTTATTAATGCTTATACATTCTTCACTTTTACATTCTTCAGAGTTACCTTTGTAAGTAATGTTTCAGTTGAACCTGCCTTTAAGTACATATAAATAACTGTGTTTTCCACAAAATAATAGACATCAGAATCTACTGTGCTTTAAATTGAAATTTGATGTATTGGAGTATATATTTATTAACATCAATATTGAATTCTTAAGTGTTTAGAACTAGAACTTGTAAATAAAAATTCACTAAACTTTTTTAATTAAAAATTTAATTATTTTGTTAATTAAAATATAAATGAATGATATCGTAATGAATTTTTTACTCACATAGCCAGTTCATGCGTTCAGTATATTCTACTTTGCGTTTCAAATCTTTCACCAACGCTCGAAAATCATCGTCGTTAAAGTGACAGCGTATTATTGTATTGTTTAGTTGTATAATGCTGTATTCATTGTTGCCATTATTTGCTGTAATGCCTGAACCAGTAGCAGCTGTGCCGGTGCCAGAAGGCGTACCACCGCCACCGCCACCGCCACCGCCAGCGCCAGCGCCACCGCCACCAACACTGCTACTCTCAATTACGTCGAAACCCTTATGTTGGAAATCGCTGCTTTTGTAAAATGCCGAATTTAAACCGTCCTTGTTGGTGCCATCGACATTGCTGCAAGATTTACTGAGTATGATTGTCGAGCGATTCGCAATTGAATTTGCCGCTAGCAAATGTTCACCTGCAGCGCCGCAGCTGCCACGATGAAATGGAAATTTGGTGCAATTATTGTTTTTGAGCGATATCTGCAATTGAGTGCTCAACGCTTGACCAGGATGTGTGGAACAGTCACTTGCACGTCGTCGACGTAGATTGTCTTCAACGCCACTACTGGGCTGTAAAAATGTATTGTATCTTTGCTGTTGTTGTTGACTAGGGAGTGTGGTATTAGCTTTTATGACAATTGAGTTTTTGGTTTGGAATTTAATGTTTTCAGTCAAATCGGTTCCTCCGTAAGTATTACCGCTATCATCATCTTCGTTGTCATTGCCCAGTGATACAAGAGGCTCTACACTACTGCTTGCAGTTTTGCTGCTCATAATGATTAAATGATTTCGATTGCTGTTTATATTTGCATCAACTGCAACGCTACTGTTACGTCGACTATGGCGATTTCCTATTACGGTAATCTTACTTTTACGATCTTCATAAAACTGTATGAGTAAATCCTCAAGTAACAATATAGATTTTGCAGTCGTAGACGGCTGGCACGGTAATTTACTTGCTGTTATAATAGTGTCGTCCTCGTAAGAACTTTCGGTGGGTAAATAACAGTAACTACTTGCAGCTGAACTTAGTGGCGTTAAGCTTTGTTGTGTATCTAACTTTTCTGTAGAACTTATTTCCTTAAACGTATCTATAATAGAGTGTTTTAGTTGTATTTCTCGTATTTGCTTGCGCTGTTTAGCTGGACTGTATGGATTTATTAACCTGAAGTCACCATATATTTTAGAGAGAAATCGAACGCGAGAAGCAATGAAGCCGATTTTATTCAAAAGGCGAACATCGGAATTAACGCCACATTGAGAACGCTCTTTCCGTGCAAAAACGCGTTGCGCTACTGAGAAGGTAAGAGTAGTGGCTGTATTTGCTGATGTCGTAGATATACTTGTGTTTGAAGGTCGCGAAGTTGGTGCTTCCTCAGATTCACTACTAAACTCAGAAGAACAGCTTATTGCGTCCACATCTGTATATTTAATAGTAGAGTGTTTTATGCTGCTATATGGTAGGTCATGTGGTGTCGTCACTGATCCAACTTCAGCGGCCGTCGTTGCTAGCGATGTCTGAGGACTGCTACGACAACTGTTATTCCTGTACATTTATACGATAATCAACAAAATGTCTGAATTTCGGTATGAGCAACCAAAATTAGTGAAGTCGTCTAGCACAGCTAATAGTAGATAAATCGTTATATATTTCGAGAGTATTATGATTTCAGTCAAAATTTATGATTGCCAAAGACAATATTGTTTTTTACTATATTGGTGCTAAGTCTTTTAATTTAACTTTGTAACTGCTTTAAGAACTTTAAGAACACTACAATTTATTTTTTACTTATTTGCTACGATTAATTTATTTCTTCGTTTACAGCTGTACGGGGCTTCTTTAGAGCGAATTCTGCAAATTTTAATTTCTGTTTTGTAATCATTCCGTATTTTTATTTTTCTTTAAGACATGATATACAAATTTGAAATCTCATTCATTTCCGTCAATTCATTGAAGAATTTCGCTTAACATATTTAATATTAAACGACCACTTTTCTCTAGTTTCTTTCTCTTCTTCGTGATCTTCTTACAATATTAAATGCGGTTTTTGATTAAATATCTGAGTTTCGCTATACTGATTATGCTAACGTCAATGGTGTCTTCTGGTTATATTTGCCACTTAAAAAACACACTTGAGAAAAGCAGAATAGTGGAGTATGAATTAAGCAAAAAAGTAAAGTTTCGCAGCGAAAATTCTGAAAAGAATATAAAAAATATGAATATAATTTTGTTTTATAATCGTGTTTATAAAATAATGATGTATTAATGAGTAAATCAATAATTAATAAATAATAAGCTTAGTGAACTATAAAAGCTTCAGTTTTTTGATGAATATGTCCTTATAAAACCACTTAGAATACAAAGAATTATTTTTATATATAACATATTATTCTTTATTAAAAGACCATAACAAAACTAATATGCAAAGAAAGCATAGATTAAACTTAACAATCTATTAAATATATATCAATTTTTATTTTTAAAATAAAATATATCTATAAATAAGCGGCGAAATACATTTCGAAATTTTATGTAAGCATTATGGGTTCATTCATTTAATACCAAAGCCATTTATATTTCTCTCAATATTAAGCTTCCCCTCTCGTAACCTCTTAAGCATATGTTTTAATTCAAGAAATGAAAAAAACTTATCAAAACACATGATGTCCAAAAAAATCTACCAATAAAGAAGCAGTGAGTTATATAATCTGCTACATATCACAAATTGCTTATTAAAATAGCTTAATTCGTATATTTAAGTCATTTAATTTGATAGTCAATACGTTTCTGTACACAAATGGATTATGAAAATATAATGCTCTAATATTGTTTTTTTCTTTTTGGAGAATTGTAGATCATTTTACTAGAAAATCTAATTATTCTTAAAAAAAATCTGATTACTGTTAAAATTTTGCAAAATTGTTGTTTTGTTTTTTGTATATCTAATAACTTATTTACTGAACACTTTATAGAGGTTTTCAAAAAGTGGTGAACTACAACAACAAAAATTTTTTTATATTATATTAATAAATTAAATTTTTGTTTGAACGTATAGCTGTTTCCAATATAGCCAAATACCCATCACCAGTGGTCTTGGAAATAATTCTTGTATTTAATTATTCGTAATTACATTTTATTAGAAAAAAATTAAGCAAAAAATTAAAATAACCTTTTTTACTAAACTACGTAATAATAATTATAACAAAATATTAAATTAAATATGAAATTAATTTATTTATAAAGCAACAATATATTTTTAGCGACAATTTTATAATTATAAAAATATAAAATAGATTTTAACAATTTTTAAACAATACACATTAAAATACACATTAAAATAATTATTTGCAAGTCATCACAACTTTATAATAATATTTAAAAGTTTATAATAATCAATGAAATTTAATTCGAATTCAAGTATAAAAAATGGAGAAGTTGCAACAAATTGCCGCAAGTGTGCATTGCTCAATTCAACAAAATATATTTTAACCGCAATTCCGTTTGCGTCCAGCTTGTGTAATTTTAGTTATTTTCAGTGCAAAAAGTGCTCCGTACTTTTTGCGCTGAAAATCTTGCAATCTAACGTACACTGCTTAATATGAGCACGTATGTAGTTATGCTGCAATTGTCCACCATTGGTAACGCTGTTACTAAACGGGATATATTTCTATTGTATAGTGATAACTAAATGATTTGCCGTTAGCTATTTGGGTTTGCTTAAATCAATTCGAAAAGATTTAAAATCTATAACGACATGTTTTGTTCGTCCCTATTTGCTGGGGTAAAGTTACTGGTTGGTCCCGGATCTTTGCAATAAATTTATAAATAATAGGAGACAGTGTTTTAAGTATTTATTTTAAATATTTATTTATTAGGCCACTTGCTTAAATCTAACAATGTTTGTATATTTAAAATCTATATTGTAACTCAGTCCAGAGTATTACAGGATATTTGGTAATAGCCAGAGTATTCTTGTCTTCGGTTTCACTTAACGCGATGCCGTTGCTTGCTTTACATTGAAATGTTATTAAAGTTTTATGTATAAACGTATTCACGCTTATAGAAGTTAGAATATAAGAATATCAACGTATTCCCGGTTATATAGAACTCAGTGGATAGAACATATGTTAAACGAATTCACGCTTATATCGGACTCAGTGGATAAAATATAAACGTATTTACGCTTATATAGGACTCAGTGGACAAGATATAAACGTCTTCACGTTTATATAGGAGTCAGTGGAAGCATATAAACGTATTCCCATTTATATAGAACTCAGTGGATAGGATATAAACGTATTCAAGCTTATGTAGGATTCAATAGGAGGTATATGCATATCAAAGAAAAAAAATTGATTAACTGGTTTTTTATACTTAGTTCCGCTGGGGACTTCGTGCGCTGTCTTCGAATGTTCAAGTCCCTGATATGCTTGTGATGAGTTGATGACAAAGTGTTTTTCTGAACAAATGCGTCGTCGTATATACGCATCAGACCGAACTGTAATGCAGCGCAAATGCTTTGTTTACAGCTGGTTTGCATGTTCGCCGTAGTTCTTTTTGTAATATGCACGTGCATCACTATATGCATTGAGTTCTCTGAATAAAAGCTCAGAGAACTCAATGCAGCCTTTAATAATTATATTTATTTATTAAAGTAAGATAATAATATTTAATAATTAATAATTATTTATTAAAATAAATACGGCAGGTGTATTATTCGTTTATTTAAACATATTTTTATTTATTTAAATATATTTGTGAATGCATTTTTTATGTGTTTTTAGATCGATTCATGTGATGCAGTTAATGCATGCGGGGGTGGGTTTTTGGTAAGTTATTTACATTAAATATAATAAATAAAAACCAACCAATTTCTATTTCAGATATCAACTCCAGACTGATTGCATGTAGGTTGGAAATTAGTAAAAATTTCCATCTTCCAAATCTCGACTTTAAGTGTAAGCCAATCGCTCTATTTAAATAAAATTGCATTTATTTAATTAAAACATTTGATAAATGTTAAGTTATATGCTACGGTTGAAAAGTTTGTTATATTTTACTGTACAACCAAAATTAAAAATTGATATTAGTAAATAGCTACCTTGAATGAATCTTCCAAAAATAGGGTTTTTTTTAATAAAAAAAAATTTTTTATTATAGGTTGTAGGTCGAAGTTTACATTATTATAAAAATGACATATTTATAAATAATGTTAAAAAATGGAAAAATATTAAATTTAGGTCCCTGTGCATAGGCTTGTTTCTATTTGTATTGCAATTAACTTTAAAAAATATTTTTATATAAAAGTTATATATTTTGACGAATAGTAAAATTTTTTACCTAATCTTCTCAAGTGCACTTTGTAGTAATGAAGCATCGTACATAAAACTCCTGCAGCTGTTCTTGAAGGTCCGCTGATTTTTATGTCTCTAAATGAACTGAATAACATTTTGTAGCGATTCATTGGAAAATGCATTTTGAAAATTGCAATTCTATGTCTCATAACGAATTCTGCAAAAATTTCTGCTGATTTGTGGCATCATAAAATGTCACATGATTGTCAAAATTGATAAATGATAATTGAAAAATAAATAATGTAAGCGGTATACTATTATATGTATGCTGTCGGTACTCAGATACTTGGAATTGAAAATATCTAGAACTATTAGTTTTACGTTACTATATGTGTTGTTATGCTTCAAATAATGCGGGAAAAATGAAATACTGCGAAGCAGAAAGTAATGGTTGCTTGTGTGTGTCAAATAGTTCTAAACAGAGTCACATACTGAATCGAACACATTACTATTAGTGCTTTCAGGTAGTTTTTAATTTTCGCAATTCTTTAGCTCTCTATTGTGATTAGTTTAAGCACAAATTGCATTTTGCAATTTAATCGATGAGTGAATCTGTATGGACTACTTAACAACCTTACAGAAAACCATATTCCAAATTGAGTCATGCTAATATTTTCACTCATCGATTTTCTAGGTAAAAGCAATATTAATAAATGCATTGCATATAGATGACATGTGCGCGCACCGAATATGCTGTTACCACCGATTCACTTATGGGGTTTGTAGTATGACATCCAATGATGTCATATGTAGTTATGTGCCATGTCAAATGGTAGCCAGACATCATGAATATATGACATAAATGGTATTACAATACAGGGAAACTTATTCATTTTCATTTTAGCTATCATTTTTTTAAACATCAACTAATAATCACTTAAAATACGCAAACGTCAAAATAGCCAATTCTATTATTTTTGTATAAGAGTTTTTAAAAGAGCTTTTTCTTTTTCAATAAACCCATAATTAAAAAAAAATTATTTCAAAACATCAATTTATATTTAGGGCAATCAGTTTTATCAATCGCCACCAAAGTAAAAGAATTTGGAAATCTGAATTAATTTTAATAATATAATTGGTAATTGAGTATTGTGTTTTAATAAAATATAATTTTATTATAAAAAGCAAATTTTTTTACTGTAACACTTTTGTAACATCTCTGTTACATTTCTAATTTAAGTAATTATTAAAACGTAGCT